TCCAGGGGCAGGTGCAGCAGGGAGTCTGCGAAGGCCCTCTGCGCCGCCACCGAGGCGAGGCCAGTCCACCGCTGGATCCAGGCTGCCTTCACCGAGGCGCGCAGTAGCTCTGGCGCGGACCGGGCTTTGCAGTCAGCCAAGAGGCGCACGAACTGGAGGGCCTCCTGCGACCACCGGCCCCCCACCTCCAGGGCCATGACCACGAGCCGGCAGCGCCTCGCGTCCAGGAGCTCTGGGTAGGTGGTCTCCTTGCGCCTGCGGGCTTCGCGGATCCACGCCCCGTCCTCGTCTGCCGTGCGCGGGTGGGCCGCGCCGTCCCGGCCGAGAGGGCAGACCAGCGTGGCGTCCACGGCCAGCTGTGCCCCTCCCCACAGCGGCAGACCGCTGGCGATCACCTCGAGCCGCCGGCCGTCGCCCGCGCCGACGCCGTCGACGTTCAGGTCCCGCAAGAACTGGTTCTCCGCCACCCTCGCGCCCGCCTCGCGGCAGATGCGGGCCGCCGCCTTCTCCAGAGGGGCTCCCCGCTTTTTGAGGACGCCGGCTGTGGGGCAGGCCGCCCTGTGGTCCCCTCTGCTGTCGAGTCGCGCTCGGCACCTGCACGCGCCTGCCGTGAATGGTAAATCGAGGCGCAGGCGGCGCAGGAGGAGGACGCGCAACTCTGCGGGTGGAACTCGCATGGGCTCGCTCGTGGGTAAGACCGTGAACACCCGGCCGGCGCACGGGCCGCTCTGGGAGCGCAGCAGGGCGCGCTCTGGGGCCTGCATGCGTTGCATGATGCCGACCCTGGCTCGGTCGTCTCTTGCTCGGGCCGCCCAGAACTGCCAGCCGCGCGCCCACTCGCCCATTTCTCTGTCGTGCGTGGGCGGGGGGCGCGCTCCCAGCGCCAGCGCCGTCCAGTCAGGCGTCTCGTACCCTTCCAGGGCCAGCTGGCGCCGCGCCTCAGCCGCTTGGCGGAGGCCCGGTGGGAGCCCGGCCGCGCCAGTGTCGAGGGCCCAGCAAATGTCCGCCGTCAGCGCCGGCGCGCGCTCTCGCAGCATCGGCAGGCAGTCCGCCCAAGACGCCCACCACGCCGCGGGCGCCATGCGGGCAGCGCAACGCAGGCCCAGCCCTCCGAGGCAGAGCGGGAGCTGCGCGACCTCCCTGGCCGTCTGTCCTGCTGCCAGCTGGTCCGCAGGGGTCCCCAGGAGGTCTGTGACCGCCGCCGCCATGTGCTCGTCGTGGGCCGTCGCGAACTCAAGCGTGTCCTCCGGCGCCATTGTGCGCAAGTAGAAATTGGCCCGCGGGTTGGCGCACATGCTCAGGAGCAGCCAGGCCGTCTGGAGGTCTCCGACTTGGCACAGCCGGTGCAGGAGAACGCGGTGGTCTGCCAGCAGGGAGCGCATGTGGTGGCGGACGAATTCCACGTGCCCGATGGGCGTGCCGAGGACCACCAGGCCCTGCTCGTGTGGCGGCGCTGCGGTGTCTCCGACCCACACCCGGTCTTGCTCGGTGCCTAACTCCCTGACTCTCGGCGGTTCCGTTCCTGCTGCGTTCCAGACCTTTGTCTTGCCCATGTTGACGCCGATGCCACAGTGCCTCTGAAGCGCGCAGCGGACCAGTTCGAAGACGTCGCGGGAGCGCGCTGGGGCAGACACCACGTAGATGTCGTCCAGGAATGCAAAGAGGTGCTCCCCTGGAAGCAGGCGGGCTTGCACTTCTTGTAGGGCAGGGTGTTGGCCCAGGGCGAACAGCGCGGGCATCAGGGGATCGCCCTGCTCGCCGCCTTCCGCCTGCTCCACGACGTGGGCCTCCCCGCGCTGGTCGGTCCAGAGGTATTGCGAGCGGGACCCGTAGAACATCCTGCAGAATGGTAACGCTGAGCTCGCGGCTGGGAGGCCCGCCAATCCTTGGAGCATGGCGTTGCGCGACATGAGGTCGAACGCGCCAATGCCGTCTATGGAGAGCACCGTGGCCTCTGGGTTGGCCTGCGTCAGGCTCTGGATGAGGTGTGCCGCACATTCTGTGCCCGCTCTTGTGGACAGGGCGAACTGAAATGGCGCTGTGGCTGCCTCTACCTCCTCGTTGATCTGTTGGGCCACGGGCCACGCAGCGGGCCACCAGTCTCCTCAGCACGTCTCCTGTCACGATGCCCCTCACCCTCCCGTTTGGCTTGGTTAGCGCCGTGAGCTGCCCCAGGCGCAACGCTTCCGCCACTGGTCCGGGCAGCCTTGCCTGCGCCATCCTCGTGGCCGCGTGGTGTAGTAAGCTGCGCGCGTGCTCGTCTTCCAGGAGTGTCTGCAAGTGTTCGCCGGTCAAGCCAGACGGGCCTGGGGCGGCGCCCCTGCGGCAGCCGCGGAGGTTGCGCAGGAGCTTGTCGGACTCGAGCAAGATAGGCTCCGGAGCTAAGGCTGCCAGGTCCCCCCTCAGCGGCTCCCGCGGTTGGGCGAGCCGTCGCGCCGGGTCCCGCAGCTCCGCCAGCGTGGCCTCGGTCCCCGGCGCGAGAGCGCTGGCCGTGAGGGCCTGGCGCGCCGCCGAGACCTCTCCCTGCTGAACCAAGGCGTGCGCCCTCGCGCAGCGCTGGGAAAGCTCCTCGTCGCTCCCTGCCGGCGGCCGCCCGCGGCCTCCTCCGCTTCGCCTTCTGGCTGGGGGGGCTAGCAGGGGCGCCCAGTCGCCCGCCTCGAACCGGGCGAACCGTTCCAGCAGCTCTTCTTTGGGCACCGTGCGGGCGCCGGGGTCCTTGCTTAGCAGCATGCGCGGGATCAGAAACAGGAGCTTCCAGCCTCGGAGCTGTCGCGCCTCGTTGCCCCCCCTTGCGTGGATCTCCCTCAGCGCTTTGCGCAGCGCGTTGCGCAGGGGTCCGCGGAGGAAAGCGGGGGCGCTCCGCATGGTGGCCACCTGTTGCCGCAGGGTTGCTTGCAGGTCCACCCCGTCTAGCGCCTCTCTCTCTGCCCTGCGGAGCGCTTCCCTCTGAGGGCGCCGTCCTCGTGGCCCCTGCGCTGCTCCTCCGCCGCCACCATATTCCTCCTCCTCCTCCTCTTCTTCCTCCTCTCCTGCCCCTTGGGCCCTGGCCGCTTCCGGAGCCGGCGCCTGGAGCTGTGGGCTTCTCTGGCTGTCGCTGCCTTCGTCCCTGTCGTCGTTGCCGCTGCTCGCTCCTCCTCCTCCTCCTCCTCCTCCTCCTCCTCCTCCTCCTCCACCTCGTCTCCCTCTCCCTCCAGCACCTCTTCCTCTTCCTCTTCTGCCTCCTGTGGCGCCTCTTGCTCCTCCGCCCCCTCTGGCGCCGTTCCTGTCTCCGCTTTCTCCAGGGCCTCTCCCGCCGCTGGCACCGTCGTTCGGCCCTGGGCCTGGGGGCTCCAACGGCGGCGGGGGCGGCGGGGGCGGCCCGGCCGCCGCCCACCTCTCGGGGTCGCGCAACTCGTCTGTGCGCCTGTCAACCCCTCTCGCTAAAACAGCGCCGCCGAACATTTCCAGCAAGAGGTCCTGCGCCTGCGGCTCCACGTGGCCGGCGCTGTCTGCCAAGGCCCGGACGAGGGGCGGCAGGTATACGTGTCCCGGGCGTTCTCCGCCTCCGGCTGCTATCGCCGCGTACACCGTCCCGGGGCGGGCCCCAGCGAACTCGAGCCCCTGGGCGATCTGCTCGGCGGGGACCGGCTCCGAGTGACGCAGCGCCTCGACCGTCGGCTGCCACCAGTCCTGCGTGAGGCGGTGCGCCCCCCACTGCGCCGCCTCCGTCGGATCGAGCAGGCCGGCCGCCGCGAGCAGCAACGGCATGTAGACGTCCGAATTGGTACGTGCCCGCAGCGGGGCCTCCAGCGGAGGCCACCCTGAGAAGACGCTGCGTTGGTGTGGTGTTGCGGCGACCTGCGCCTGCCTCCCGGGCGTTGGTTCGGGGTTCCCGCCGCCTCCTCCTGTCTCTGGCGGCCTGTCTGGTTTCGCGTCCGCTGGCGGCTCCGGGAGCGCTGTCTCGGCGCAGCCCTGGCAGAGCCACTCCCCGTGCCATCGCCGCGGCCCTCCCGCGCCCACGCTTGCCCGGGCGACCCACTCGACCTGTCTCGCCCGGCCGCAGGAGCATTGCGGCGGCCTCGCGCCCTGTTGCGGTGGGACGTCTCTCCCTAGTGGGGCGACATCGCAGGCGAGGCACTCCCAGCTTCCCGCCAGCCCGCCCGGCCCGCGCGAGTGTCGCCAGCGCATGGGTTGGCCTGGGTGGTGCGGGCACCTGACGATCGCGTGTGGCGCGGGTCCCTCTGGGAGCACGAGGGGTCCGCCTGCGTACGGGTCGTCGTTCTCGTCACTGCTCGGCGCGCCTCCGTGGTTCCGGCAGACCGCGCACCGGCACCCCCGGGAGGGGAGCCCGTCACCGCGCTCCAGGCAGCTCACGAGCTCCGCGAGCCGCGCGGCGGCGCTCGGCCCGTCGCCCCACCTGTGGTTGCAGAGCGGGCACTGCGCCTCCTCGACCCGGCTGGCGTCGCCGCCCGTGTGGCGCAGGTGAGCTAGCCCCCGGCGCAGCGGCCGGTGCCTGGCGAGGCATGCCGCGTGGAAGCTGTGTGGCACGTGGCCGCAATCGGGCCATTGCACCCCCGCGTTGTCGAGCGGCTCCAGGCACATCGCGCAGGCAGGAGCAGCAACCTCTGGCCGCGGCCTCCGACCGAACACGGCGTCGAAGTGACTGTCCTCTGCTGGCAGGGGCGAGAGGGAGCGGCGCGGCGACCTGAATCCCTCGCTGGGCGGTGTCTCTGGCCCTGCGGGCGCGGAGCGGCGCGAAGCGGAACGCCCCTGGCTTGCCGGTAGGTCGCCATCGATATTACTATATCGTCCTCGCCCTCCGCCAGTGCTGCGGTGGTCTCCGCGCGGTGTCGTCCCTGGGCAATCGTCGGGTGGCCCTGGGTGGCTCGCCTCCCCGATCCTTTGGCCCCGCAACCCCCAGCGCGAGTCCCTGTGTGAACGGGATGGGCTTAGTTGCTCGTGGTAGTCGTTGTGCTGCTGCTCGTTGCGTTGGCGCTGCTGCGCTTGGCGCCGCGGGTCGAAGCCGAGGTCCAGTTCGCAGTGTTGCCGCTGCTGCTCTGCTGCCGCCGTCGCCTCCTCGCCTCCCTCGTCCGCCTCGTCGTCATTCTCCTCCTCCTTGGGGTTCGGGCCGACGTAGGCGTTGGCGTCCGAGCTGGCGTCTGCGGTCCTGGCAGTGCTGGCGTCGGCGCTGGCGTTGGAGGCGCGGTCCTCCTCGGTCTCCTGACCCTCCTCTGCTGCTGCCGTCGTCGCCTCCTCGTCCTGGTTGTCCTCCTCGTCGTCGTCGCCCTCCTCCGCCTTGGCGTCGGGGCTGACGTAGGTGTAGGCGCTGGCGTCCGAGCTGGAGTCGGAGGTCCTGGCAGTGTTGCCGTCGGAGGTGGCGCTGGTGCTGGCGTAGGCTTTGACGTTGGCGCCGGCGCAGGCGCATTCCTCCTCAGCCTCCTGAACCTCCTTCTCCTCCTCCTTCTCCTCCGCTGCTGCTGACGTCGCCTCCTCCTCCTGTGCGTCGTCCGAAGCCTTGGCGCTGGGGCTGGCGTAGGCGTAGGCGCTGGCGTCCAGGCTGGCGTCGGAGGTCCCGGCGGTGCTGGCGTCGGAGATGGCGCCGGAGCTGGCGTAGGCGCTGGCGTCGGTGCCGGCGCAGGCGCCATACTTCTCGGCCTCCTGGGCCTTGGCGTTGGAGCTGGCGTAGGCATCGGCGCTGGCGTCCGAGCTGGCATCGGAGGTCCCGGCGGTGCTGGCGTCGGAGATGGCGCCGGTGCTGGCGTAGGCTCTGGCGTCGGTGCCGGCCCAGGCTCCATACTTCTCGGCCTCCTGGGCCTCCGTCTCCGCTGTTGCCGTCGTCGCCTCCTCGTCCTGCCTGCTCTTCCTCCTCCTCCTCCTCCTCCTCCTCCTCCTCCTCCTCCTCCTCCTCCGCGGCCTTGGCGTTGGAGTTGGCGTAGGCGTAGGCGCTGGCGTCCGAGCTGGCGTCGGAAGTCCTGGCGGTGCTGGCGTCGGAGATGGCGCCGGTGCTGGCGTAGGCGCTGGCGTCGGTGCCGGCGTAGGCGCCATACTTCTCGGCCTCCTGGGCCTTGGCGCTGGAGCTGGCGTAGGCGTAGGCGACTGCGTCCGAGCTGGCGTCGGAGGTCCCGGCGGTGCTGGCTTCGTAGTTGGCGTTGGGGCTGGCGTAGGCGCTGGCGTTGGTGTCGGTGTGGGCGTCTACCTTCGCGTCCTCCGCGCCCTTGGCGTTGGAGCTGGCGTAGGCGTGGGCGCTGGCGTCCGAGCTGGCGTCGGAGGTCCCGGCGGTGCTGGCCTCGGGGATGGCGCCGGTGCTGGCGTAGGCGCCGAACTTCTCGGCCTCCTGTGCTTTGGCGTTGGAACTGGCGTAAGCGTAGGCGCTGGCGTCCGAGCTGGCGTCGGAGGTCCCGGCGGTGCTGGCGTCGGAGATGGCGCCAGTGCTGGCGTAGGCGCTGGCGTCGGTGCCGGCGCAGGCGCCGTACTTCTCGGCCTCCTGGGCCTTGGCGTTGGAGTTGGCGTAGGCGTAGGCGCTGGCGTCCGAGCTGGCGTCGGAGGTCTCGGCGGTGTTGGCTTCGTAGCTGGCGTTGGGGCTGGCGTAGGCGCTGGCGTTGGTGCCGGTGTGGGCGCATTCTTCCTCGGCCTCCGCAGCCTCTTCGACCGCTGCTTCCGTCTTCGCCTCCTCGTCCTCCTCGTCCTCCTCCAGGTAGGCGCTGGTGCTGGCGTCCGAGCTGGCGTCGGCGGTCGTGGCAGTGCTGGCGTCGAAGCTGGCGTTGGTGCTGTCGTGGGCGCTGTCGAATGCGAGGCGTCGCAGATGCATGCGCGCATCCACCTAATCCACTTCCTCCTCCTCCTCCTCCTCCTCCTCCTCCTCCTCCTCCTCCTCCTCCTCCTTCTCCTCCCCCCCCTCCTCCTCCTCCTTAGCCACCCTCACCTCCTCCTCCTCCTCCTCCGCCTCCTCTTCTTTCTCCTCCTCCTCATCCTCCTACCTCCTCCTCATCTCCTCCCCCTCCTCCTCTCCTCCTCCTCATTCCTCCTCCTCTCCTTCTCCTCCTCCTCCCCCTCCTCCTCCTCCCTCCTCCTCCTCCTCCTCTCTTTCTCTCCTCCTCCTCCTCCTCCACTCCTCCTCCTCCCCCTCCTCATCCTCCTCCGCCCCTCCTCCCCCCCTCCTCCTCCTCCTCCTCTTCCTCCTCCTCCTGCTCCTCCTCCGCCTCCTCCTCCTCCTCTTTCTCTTCTCCCCCCCTGTCCTGACTGAGCAGCCCCCGCAATGTTGCGCCTCATAATTTCCCAATGCTATCCTGTCCTGCCCTGTTCCTCTACTCGTCCGCCTGCTCCTCTCCGTCTACTTCCCCCGTGCCCTTTTCCTCTGCGTCCGCCTCCTCGCCGTGCCCGCGTTCGTCCTCGCCCCCCCTTCTAACTCTTGCGCCGGTGCAGCGGCCCGCGGCCCCAGCCCCGCAGGGTCCCGGGGCCCCCTGCCCCGCCTGGACTGCCCGGGTCTCTAGGAGCGCGAGGCGGACTTTCCGGGCCCCGGGTCCGCCAGAAACGGCAGAGGATGAAAGACCGGTCTTGAGGAGGTCGTCGGGAATTTCTGGGTCTCCGCGCTGAGAAGTGCGCGAGACGTCGGATGTGTGGGCACGTGGTCCCTGCCCCCAGATTTAAGTCGGGCCTGTCCCCCTACAGGGGGACCCCAAAATAATCCAAAAATAGTCTGGGGACTATGTTTTGGGTATTTTTTGACCATCTTAGGGTATTTTTGGGGTATTTTTTATTTTTCGTCGAAAATCCCACTGTAGGGGGACAGCCCCGACCTAACCCCAGATGCTATCGCCTGAGGTCCTGGCAGCGCTGCGCGTCAAGCGTCGCCTCTGCCCATCGCCGCCTCGCCCGCCACTGTCCGCCCGTGGAGCAGGACAGTGGCGACAAGAGGAAGAAGAAATGCAAGAAGAGCAAGGTGATCCATCCTTCTTCCTTGTGGGTTGCACTTTCGCCTCCCTGCCTGTTCAGTGCGCCCTCCTCCCTCCTCTTTCTTCCCTACTCCCTCCGCCCTCTTCCCTCCTCCTCCTCCTCCTTCTCTTCATCATCATCCTCCTTCTCCTCCTCCTCCTCCTCCTCCTCCTCCTCCTCCCCCTCCTCCTCCTCCTCCTCCTCCTCCTCCTCCTCCTCCTCCTCCTCCTCCTCCTCCAGAGTCCCTCCTTCTGCCCTCCACCCTCCCCGTCTTCCTTTTTTTCGTTATAATCATTCCTTCTCCTCTGTGATACATATTCTCGCCTTTATCCGTCTTCCTCCCAGTATCAGTTGTCATCCTTCCTCCTTCCTTCTCCCTCGTTCCTCCTTCCTCCTTCCTCATTTCTCGTTTAACCTCCTCCTCCTCCTCCTCCTCCTCCTCCTCTTACTCCTCGCCCCCCCAGAGAAGGCTACCAGGAGGACGTGCGACAAGGAGAAGAAGGGCAAGAAAGGTAAAAACAAGACGAGCAAGAAAGACAAGTACCACAAGGCCAACAGGATCGAGCTGGCTCGGAAGATCCCGATCCTCCGCGTCTCCCTCTCCATGCTGCTGCTGCTGCTGCTGCTGCTGCTCGCCCCTGCCCCTGTCCCCGTCCTCGAAACCTGCCCCCGTTCCCCGTTCCTCTTCCCTCCAACTCCCTCCCCCCCCCAAAAAAACCCTCTTCTCCTCCCTCTCGTCGTCCTCTTCGTCGTGCTCCCCTGCCCCCTTCTCTGTGCTCCCCTGTCGCCCTCGTCCTGCCTCCTTCGATCCCTCCCTCCCTCCCTCCCTGCTTCCGCTGCTTCTCCCCCGCCTCTGTTCATCTTCCTCCTCTTCTTCCTCCTCTTTTTCTTCCTCATCCTCCTCTTTTTGCTCCTTTTCGTTCTTCTCCCCTCTGCTGCTGTTGCTCCCCCTCCTCTTCCCTCGTTCTCTTCCCCCCCCTCCCTCCATTCCATATGACCTGAGAGTCGCGCGCCTCCGTTTGCGCATTTCTTCTGACACGCAGGATGGGGCCGAGCTTTTTGTTCACAGTCATCCTGCGGTGTGGGGGCCTCGTTTTGAAGAGACAGCACCCCGCATTCTCCTTCTCCTTCCTCCTCCCGCTTCCTCCCTCCTTCCATCCCGGCCTCTGCCCTCCGCATGCCCACTTCGGCACACCTCTCGCACGTGTCGTGGCCCCATATGGGGTTCCGCCGAAGGCCCCAGCGGCAGCGTCCGCATGGCGGCCCCGCGCCCATTTCGGCACACCCCTCACACGTTTCTTGGCCCCAGTGGCAGGGTCCGTATGTTGGCCCCGCACCCATTTTGGCACACCGCTCACGTGATTCTTGGTCCCACAGGGAGCTCTATCGAAGGCCCCACTGGCGGGGTCCCCACGAGGAGCTCCACCGAAGGTCCCAGCGGCAGGGTCCGCATGGCGGCCCTGCACCCATTTCGGCACGCTGCTCAAACGTTTCGTGGCTCCACGAGGACCTGCCCCTCCTTCGTCCCACCTGGCCTGCGGCACTCGCGTCCGCATTTGCTTGGTTCCTTTGCCCGGAGAACTTCCCAAACTGTGTTTGCACACAAGGGTTCTTATTGAATCGCTTCGCGCATTCCGCCGGCCCATTTCGCATGACTGAGCCTCTTGGGGCCGCTGGGGGGCCTCTTCAGCGTCGCTCGGGGGCCTCCTGAGGGCCTCTTGGGGGCTTTTGGGGCCTCTCAGGGGCCTCTTGAGGCCTCCTGGGGGCTTCGTAAGGCCGAGGGCACGAAGTTTTGTTTTGTGTTCCCCCTTTGGGGCATCGCTTTGGGCCCTCTTGGGCCCCTCTTGGCCCGTCTTGGATGCCTCTGGGGCCGTCTTGGAGCCCTCTTGGGCCATCTTGGGGCCTTCTTGGGAGCTTCTTGGGCCCTCTTGGGGCGATCTTGGGGGCCTCTTGGGCCGTCTTGGGGCGTCGGGAAGCCGAACAGATGGACACGCCAAAATCTGCTTAAAACCGAAGGAAAAGTAATGAGTTTTGCCTCTTGGGGCCCTCTGGGGAGTGCTCTTGGAGGCCTCTTGGGGCGTCTGGGGGC